CTTTTTCCCCTAACACCTGCCGTAATTTCTCTTCTTGTTTAATTTCTCGTTCTTCTTGTTTCTTTTCTTTTTCCTCTAACAACTGCCGTAATTTCTCTTCTTGTTTAATTTCTCGTTCTTCTTGTTTCTTTTCTTTTTCCTCTAACAACTGCCGTAATTTCTCTTCTTGTTTAATTTCTCGTTCTTCTTGTTTCTTTTCTTTTTCCTCTAACAACTGCCGTAATTTCTCTTCTTGTTTAATTTCTCGTTCTTCTTGTTTCTTTTCTTTTTCCTCTAACAACTGCCGTAATTTCTCTTCTCGTTCTTCTTGTTTCTTTTGCTGTTCGTGTATTGCTGCCATCAAGTCTGCTAGGCTGTAGTTTGATTTGCCGCTTCTCGTTTCCATTTTTTTTTCTGTCCCACTCTCTGACACCAATTTGTTACGTCTCCGTTTGTTAACTAACTCTCCGTAAATTCGTTCCGACGAAACTTTAACGACACAAATCTTTACTTAATAAAGCTGGTTTATTCTTTCCGAATATAACTTTACCGATACACTCAACTTCAACAATCGCGCTAAACAAACGCTGTAACAATGAACGTCTACAATACTTCTGACTGCAGTTCAATTACTCACTATCTACACACACATTACATTACATTGTCACGTTGTCACCCTCTCTTATATACCCGACCACCCTATATCCAGTAAATACTAGAGCATTCGCCAAAGTACATGATAGTTCTAGAAACGTTGCGTCACAGTAGTCATGTGACTCGCTGACGCAACAATATAGTTCCTCACAGAGATCTGGTGTGCAAAAAAATTGAAATACACGTATACTTTATATGTATTAGTATGTTCCTGTTCTATATGTAAATAACACATACATGAAATAACACATATATAAGTTTCCAGCGTTTGTGTGTATTAACAGTATTGTCGTAACACTGCCCCCTTCCTTAGTAATGTTCGTCCCGAGCAATAGCTACTTAGATTAAACCAATAGATAATTAACAATAACCTTATTAAATGCACAGAATTTACAAACACAAAATTAAAATTCAACAAAGTCTCTTAATTTTACGGGACGTATCTTCTTCCGTACTGGTCTCCGTCTCGTTGACTTCTGCTTTATGTGAGGTTCATCTGCTTCATCGGGAAACGTCCTATCATTGGTAACAGTCACATCAGTGGTAGTAACTTCATTAACGGCTTCACTGTTTTCCTTCTCAAAACCGAGGAGAGTTCCTTCTTCGACAGTGGCTTTTTCAGGTGACATGTCTTCAGCAGCGTCATTTGTTTCATTGTTCACTTCATTCCAACTGAAATGTCCTCGACCATGACAATGCCAAAGTCTGTTGGCATGCGCCACCTTTGGCTTACCTCGCCGACCACATTTTATTCGGAAAGTCACGTCTGAGAGATGATCCACAATGTCATATGGGCCTTCCCATGGAGATGACAACTTAGGAGACTTCTCTTTGGTCTTCCTGGGATTATACAACCACACCTTGTCTCCTGGTACAAAGCTAACTTCAGTAGATCTCTTATCATAGGATAACTTCATCGAATCAGCAAACGTTTTCAAGTTTGAATGCACTTGATGGTGAATATTATCCATCCTTTCCGATAACACTTTCACGAACTCTGACACATTTTCAGGCAACTCTTCATAAGGTGGGCATCCTGTTGTCAGGTCCACTGGCAACCGAATTTCCCGACCAAACATCAGCTTTGCTGGAGTGTATCCAGTGGCTTCGTGCTCTGCTGTTCTATAGACCATCAACA